GAGACGAGCAGAAAGAATGTCTGAAGACTGGGAAACACATCCGCAGATAAAAAAGACTGCGACGATTGAAATCATGAAAGGTTCAGGCACAAGTCGCTTAGTGAATCCGATATGGGTTTCGTTCACTGTGAAGTATTTGCCAATGACCGCAGGCAGGCCAAGATACCACAATTCACCGAAAGTCAAGGCCAGCGCGCACTGCCCATCTACGAGTTTGGTCCTCAAACTATTTGGAGAAATCACGAGAGGAGTTTTCCTACCATTCAAACCTTGAGAAAAAAAGTAATAGATGGCAAGTACTCAATATCCTCACAGTCGATCTTGAAGACGCCGGACTCCTCCCTGATAGCCACATGTTTCACTCCGGCATTCTCGAGCAACTTCAATACCGGCTGCTTTAAAGAATCTGCTATCTGTATATAACCCAAGCCAGTGGCCAAAAAGGCAGCAGAATCCATGGGAACTTCATCCACGCAGTCATCCCCGACGAGAAAGCCCATCATGTCAATGGCTGGCGGGCCCAGGCCACTTAGCCAAGTCGAGACGTACCTCAACGGACCGTCCTGTCTCATTGGATAATCACCACCGAAGATAAGACGACCAAAGCCGGTAGTATTGAGGTATATCGTGTATTCTTTCTTAGTGACGATACCCGCTATCAGGAGCACGTCAATGAATAATGGGTACCGAGGAGAGAAAACGCCATGCAATGAAAGCCCCAGAGATGCCCAAGGAGTTTTCTCGGGGCTTGTCACCAGGCCAAACGGGACATTTCCCACATTATCAATATGAACAAGGTGGCTGAACATGGTGACTTCTCTTCCATCGTAGAACTTGTACGTCGAAAGGGGGCCGGGCTCGCATGGTTTGGGAGAACAGCCGAAGCAATGATAAATTAAGTCATGACAGCCGCCTGGCTTAACCCTTTCATACTGAGCTCTCCACACAAGGAACGTTCGAGTGGACCCTGTGTCAACTGCAAGGTTTACCTCTTGGCCGTTGGGGTAGAAGGCAACAAGGAGCTGATTCCATTGGCTGCCTAGTCCTGGCTGCGCCACGGAGATTGGCTTGATATACACCTTTTGCTCCTGGGACGCGATTGAAAAGTATATAATACCAAGAAGAGTGAGCGCAGTTGGAATCATTTATGATGGATCTCTACTTCACTGAATCCAAGCTGAAGCAGGCACATCACAACACGCCATGT